CAGTACAGAGCTGGTCGATTCGGTGTTAAGTAAGCTGTCCGGATGTCAGGCCACAGCCCGGCAGCCTTCGGAGGATCAGGGTCTCTTCCCTGACATAGATACCTTGACAGCCCATATTATTCACTCCAGTTTATCTGACCTTCGGCATGAAAGTGCTCCTAAAGTCACAGCTGGTGAAAACAGGAAAAGTAACAGGAGTGTGTCAGCAGAGGAGTTAAGTGTTTTGCGAAGGAGAGAAATTACTGATCACGAACCCTTAGCAAAAGCACCCCTCCAGCTCGGTACAAACCTCTAGAGCCTGGGAAAATGGATGAGAAGCTTTTTGAGGATGCTACCAAAAGCACCTCCCAATGCCAAAGTCCCACACCATCTACTCCAGAGGTCTGGCTCAGATATTTGGAAGATATAATCAGCAGGCTTTTCTCTGATCTTCTCCCTGCCGCCGCCAGCACATCTTCCTCGAAAGAAAAGAAAACGGAGCTTGCAGGATTTGACTTTCTTCCCCTGAAAGTAATCAGACAAGTGATGGCAAAAATCTCTGAAGATGATGACTCTTGTACCCAACACACTGACGATCCGCATGCCAGAGAGGATGCTATGATTCAAATCACTGCTGATTCGGTTTACGACAAGCTTTTGGCACCGTTTCAGTCTCAAGTCAGCATGCAGAACTGCTTAAGAAATGGGTGCCTGGTTCTTTCTGAAGCTCTTTGTGACTTGGTCTTCCAAGAGGTTTGCGGGAGTCCACTGCAGAGCTCCCTTTCTGGGGAATCACCACTTCGCCATCGTGCCGAAGCAGACAATTTTGTTGGAGATACACCCAGAGATGTTTCTGAGCCTCTGGAGAACCTAAACACCATACCATCAGACCTGAGTAAAATAGTTACTCTTATCATCAAAAAACTAGCAGGAAATCTGTCCATGTTTTCATCCCTCTTTCCCATTGCGGAGATGGATGCAGAAAAGACTTCTTTGCTGAAGGATGCAACTGCTGGCAGAAGCTCACAGCACCAGAGATGTTTATCAAGGGCCAAAGTGAGCACGCTTGCTGAGAACCTGAACCAGGCCATGGAAGAAGGCCTGTCCAGACATCAAATCAGCCTTGTGCCAGGAAGAGCCACCGCGATGTCCAGAGCAGGAAGGAGCACTTATTCCTGGAGGTCGAAAGTACTACCTGATTATGCCACAACAATCTGGCTCTGAACAAGACCTGTACAAGGACATAACAGGTTTTGATGCACATCTTCCACAAGACGTGGTTACCATCAAAATTGAGAAACTCTCCAATCGCCCCCTTTTACGGGTGGTGAGCGATCGACTGAGCCAAAGCACGACAGACCCAGACAGGCTTGCCAAC